GATGATGAGAGGAGTGTGGCCTATTTATAGTTACGAAAGGTTGGTTCCATGTTGCAGCATCACACTATAATTCATGTTAATTGTTATATATGTGGATCAGGGTCCAGAATATATCCTGATCTAATACATAGAATTCATGTTCATAATACACACACATAAACACGATATAATCAACATGAATTTTAAATTTGTTTGTTTGTTTTTTTAAAGTGCTTGTTTAGAATTGAGTAACGGCAACATGCCACATTAACGTTTAGTAAAAATTTTGCTTTAATTTATTGAGTAAAACCAATGTTATAAGTAAACTCCATGAACAATTTGGATCACGTGTTGCAAATGACATGACTCCAAGCATATTCTTAACCACAAAAAATTAGATCCATATTAAAATTACAATAATTCCAACCATTATGTTACATATTTTTTGATATGTGAGTTGACAGCTACAAGCCAAATGACCATTTTGAAATACAAGAAAGGTGCAACGTGTTGCACAATTAAGGTACGTAATGAATATAATGGACGCTAGATAGGACCGTAATGAATGGTAAACCTTTCAAGCAGGTTTTTAGTTCCTAGTCGTATTAGAGGCACAACAAACTTAATTTCACATTTTGAGCGTGTGAGAGCTTTAAGAAGAATAGTTAAAATAGTAAAATAATAATATATTTCGCTATCTGTGGTTTCCAATATTCATATACAATGGATCTATTTATACTAAATTACTAATATCTATAACAATTAATCTACTAAAATTATACTAGTACTAGCTATACAATGTAATGATATATATAATTTTCTCCCACCGATCTATAATCAATCATCTTCCATTTCCTTTAAAGATCTCTCCTAATTAAGTCACCAATTGATTCTTCCCTTTTATGTGTATCCTTTTAAGTCACCAAGCTCTTAATGAAAGCAACAATGTCATGTACTAAAATTTTGTACGCAACGAAAAAAACTTTTTGAGCATGCTTCTGGCTCCCATCCGTATTCGAGTTATGGTAACTCAAAAAGAAAAACAATGTAACGAAAGAAAATGAATAGCAATTCAATTGATATGATCCATTTTCACATTTCGGCGTGTGAGAACTCCAAGGAAAATAGCTAAGATAGTAGAATAACAATATATTACTATGTTTGTCGCTCCCAATTTTCATATACAATGGACCTATTTATACTAACTTACTAATACTTATAATAATTAATCTACTAGGCAATACAAAGTAATAGTATATTCTCCTACTGATCTAGCTATAATCAATCATTCTCTTTCTTTTTAAGCTCTCCTCTAATTAAGTTACCAATTGATTCTTCCTTTTTATGCATATCATATTATTATGAAAGTGGTAACTTAGAGCATTCTAAGAGTTTTTTTTTTTTTCTTTTTTTTTTAATTTTTTTTTAAATTTTTTTATTATAAATTTTTTAAAAATATTATTAAAGTTTTTGTCATATTTTTACACAGAGCACACATTTGCACAGTGGCAGGCTATGAGCTTTCCAGTAAATAAAAAGAAAGATCACAAGAATTATAAACTATCTCTATTTAATTCTAATTACTTTTTATGAGGATTAAATTAAAAACGACACGTTTTCAATAGTTAAAAAGTAAAAATTAACTGATCTGAATTCAAAGACTAAAAACAAAAAACAAAATAGTTAGCATATCGAAACTAAAATTGATCCCAAATTTAAGTACAATCATATATGCTTTTATGTAAGATTATTACATAAGAACAAAGTTTACTCAATACATATTTCACAATTGTGAAATAAGGTCTTCAGTAAGAATATCAACAAATTGGTTGAAAATGAATGAATTTCATGCTCATCAATTATAATAATGTTTTTTTACTTTTGGTCATTGATTATTATTTTTATTTTTTCTAAAAAATAAATGTAATTTTAAATATTCAAAAAGTAGTTGTACGAAGAAGAGTGAAATTTGATAAGAGTTGGAGACTTTTGAAAATGTTGGATTAAATTTGCTCAATTGTAAAAAATCTAGGTACAAAAAATTGTTGAATAAAAATTTAGTGACCAAAATTGAGTATGCGCGTTACAATAATGAGGAACCAAAGTTTTGTTGCCAAATGGCGGGTTTTGACGGATCCTGTCCCCTGTTTGCTCTGTCGGGTCGGAGTGTGGGGGGCCCTTAGAGTTGCGGATTTAGCCTTTTGGGGTAAGTACTAGATATTAGTTTAGTATACTTAGTAGAGTTTAAGTCGAATGAGGTTTGATCAAATTTCGACTAGATTAATCTTATCTTACGAGGTATAGATATGAGTTGTTAAAATTGGTTATGCTCGCTGCTCCACCCTATAATAAGGGATGGGGCGAGCTTTGATTTTCGAGGCGCGTTGCCGAAATCAAATGCTTACCACTAGCCAAAAGTTATAACTAGTAGGCATAATATTTTTTTTCCTACTTGTGTCATGTTGAACTTATAACTTGCTCTGATATCAATTGTTAGGATCAACTGCTTACCATGTACTAGATCAAAAGTTATAACTACACTACTGGAAATTCTGAAATTTCCGACCACCTGAAAGTGATCTTAAATCAAATTGAAAGCCTTGTTCCGACCACTTTTGGTATCCGGAAAAACCCTTGTTGCTATTTTCGACCACTTTTTGCTTTCAACTTGATTTAAGATAACTTTCAGGTGGTCAGAAATTCAATAATTTCCAGTAGTGCTAGTAGCGAACACGCAAATTTTTTCCTTATACTTGTGTTGCATTCAACGCCACATTTTGATGATAGGATGCTGGACTCGACTCTCCAAGCTGTCGCCCAACACCCGTCTTGCCAAATGGCGGGCTTTGATGGGCTTTATCCCTCAGTCCGCTTAGATAGTACTAGGTATCACTTTAGTATTGCATAACTAGGTTTCATTGATAATGCAACATGTGAAATATCACATGTGATGTACACACACAAACATGAAACATAGGCATAGGTGCTCCACCATATTATTTTCACAGGCTTTATTCTCCACACAATCTTATTATAGTACTTAGCTCATGCATTTTTATTTTATTTTTACTCAATCAAACAGTAACACTTGAGATGCCACCAGCACCCTTGGAGGTCTCATTGCCAACAACCTTGAATTCTTGAAGCTCTTTGATGTTTTTCGATTCATTCACCGACACCTTTGCCTCGTACACCTTCTTATGCCCGCCCTCTGACGCCACGACCGTGATGTTGTATATCACCTTATCAAACACCAAGTTCGCGTTCTGAAATTAAAAACCAAAAAAGAAATTGGAAATTTATCTAAATATTCCGTAGTCGCTTATGGGTGGCTCTGAGATTCGAACCGAACCTATGACCTTTGGTCTGGCTTTGATACCAAATTGAAGCATGTGCTCCATCTCAACTAAAAGCCTAAGCTCATAGTTGGATCGCACATTAATGGCTATATGCTCAACACTCTTGTAATTAACTCGAGTTTCGTGTAGTGAAAAAGACAAATGAGGCAATACAAACATTCAGGAAATTATGGAATTTTCGACCACTTGAAAGTTATCTTAAATCAAGTCGAAAGCAAAAATTGGTCGGAAATAGCAACAAAGGTTTTTCCGGATACCAAAAATGATCGGAACAAGACTTTCGACTTGATTTAAGATCACTTTCAGGTGATCGGAAATTTCATAATTTCCAGCAATGACCTTTCTTGATGTATTCAAGTATCGATGATCGATCAATATGATCAAAAGAGATTAGGGATGCTAATGACTTTTTTTTTTTTATAAATAAAAACAAGTAAAGGAATAGAAGTTAGAATGCAAACCGCTTTCTTGTTGTACTCGGCTATGGCAAAGCGAGCGAGCTCCTCAGAGATGCTGGCCATTGTTAGAGAGGATGGGATAACTCTTTGGGAAAGTGTTGGTGTGTTGTTTGTAGTATGTACAACGTTGTTTGATGAAGGATGATGAGAGGAGTGTGGCCTATTTATAGTTACGAAAGGTTGGTTCCATGTCGCAGCATCACACTATAATTCATGTTAATTATTGAAATGGTAAATACTATTAAATCACTAATTTGGGTAGTTAGTTCCAATCGTTATATGGTGGATCAGGGTCCAGAGTGTACCATGATTCAATACACAGAATTCATGTTCATAATATACATACACATAAACACGATATAATAAACATTAGTTTTAACTTTGTAAATAGTTGGCCTATTTGATCACGTACTATTACAGGGCGTTTGGTTGGAGGGGGGAATTATGTGGGAAATGAATTGTAATTCCATGGGAGTTGAATTACTGAGAATAAAGTGGGAATTTAAATTCCAGTGTTTGGTTGACAGGAATAGAATTACTGGGAATTTTAATTCCAATGTTTGGTATACATGGGAATTGAAAGGGAATAAGTAGTATAAAGTCAAAAATGTCCATTATTGTTGTTAGACATCAATTTTAGGTTAAAAAATGAATAGGTAATTTTGACTCATCACTATTTTTTTCCCATGAATTAAAATCCCAGGGGGGACATGGGATTTTAATTCCATGAAAATGAGGGAATTGCAATTCCCTCCAACCAAACTACGGAATTTAATGGCCTTTGGAATTAGGTGGGAATTAAGTGGGAAGGGAATTTAAAATCCCTCCAACCAAACGCCCTGTTAATTGTTTGATTTGGTTAAAAAATCAATATAAGTGTTTGGTTCATTAGCTTTTTTTTTTTAAAAGGATAAATTAATTCATTAAATCGGAATGAAGAATGCTGACAAGAAAGACAGGTGGTTCATCTAACCACTCACCGCAACCTGACACAGAAAAGGCCTCCCTAGCAACAGTGTGGGCAGCACAATTCGCAACAGTGTGGGCCTCATTAGCTTTTTTTGTAACTCCAAAATGTTAAAATTCAAAAAGCTGCTCCAAACAATTTTTTCAATTAGCTTTTTGAGATAAGAAATTATACCAAACAACTATCAGCTAACAACCAATTTACCAAACACCGTTCTACAATCAGCTAATGTTATCA